CTCCTAATTCGCTCCTGTTTCCTGGAATATCTTGCAAAAAGATCTGAAGCTCTCAAACTTGACCTCTCTAAGTGGCTTCAAACATCTGTTACGTTCCTGGCAAAAATCAATGCAGACATGTTCCTGTTTTTAGTTTTCTACACCTCCTTACAACCTATCTGTTTGTTCTTTTGTTACATCTTCTTTTAAATACCATTTCATTTTTACTTGTTATTCTCAATTTGTATGCATCCATTATGATTGTCTTTTGTTGTCTTTCTTGTCCACTCTTGTCATCACTCTTTGCTTAAAAAAACAGGTCTCTCTTGTAAATGAGTCCCCGAGGCTCATTGGGAATAATCTGTATAAATAAAGGTTGAATGAAAAAAAAAATGTGAGGACTGTAATATCTTCAACTTTTTACCTGCCAGTTAGAATAAGCTGAACACATTGTTTGGAGCACCGGTCCATGTTTTATTGCACTAGATGTTATTTTTAAATAGCCATTACTGTAAACTGTATTCAGTAATGCAGACTAGAGTTTGCATCACTCAAAATAAAATTTTAAACCTAATGGTTGTGAAAATAAAATGGTTGAAAGCATTACATTAGTTCATGCTTAAACGCAGCTGGTTTATTGTTTATTTCTTTTATGTTCTGCATGCTATTTTTCTCTATTCTCTATTCTATCCCCCTCTTACAATGCTGTGATTGCTAGTATCACTCAGCCCTCTGTGAATAGTAAACAGCCATCAGTGTGCTAATGATCCATTGTTAGGCTGATGGTCCTTCTTGAGCATGTGATCAGCTGGTTTTGGTTGTCAGCAGCAAAACTGGTTGGTCCACTCTGAGAAGGTGCTATTTAAGAGACTGAGCTGAATACAGCACCTCAGACTGTGGAAGTCTCTCGGATGACAGATGAAACGTTTCTACATTTTTTTGTTGATTTGCTTTGTTTTGTTTTTTTGAATGTCCAGAGGACCAGATTTAACTTTTTTTAGATTTTTCTACCTGGATTATTGAGCATGCATCAGGATATTTTTCTCTATTGTTTGCTTATCTTTCATTATGTTGAAAATAACCTTAAAATATGAACTGTGGTTGAATTTTTAATCAAAGGAGTAAGTTAAACTTCCTCCTAAAGTTAAGTTTGATCCTTTTAATCTGCAATTGTTCTCGTCATTTGCTTAATGAGGACTTGATTCACTCAGAGTTGATTAATGCACAGAACATAAAGTCAGTGAACAAAGCAGGACGGTCTCAACACAATGCTAGTTGCACGGTTGTCCTGAGAAACCTAAAAATGCAGCCTCTGATGACATTTACACAACAAGGACCCTAATAGCTCTATGGATTTGAAAGGTTTGAAACGCCTTAAACTAAGAAATCAGGAGATAAATGAAAATAATATGTTTGCAAATGTTTTCAGTTCAACAATAATGAACAAAGTCTAAAATTTTCTGTATAGGTATTAGGTAAGTGTCCAATTCTCAACGTAAGAACAAAAAATGTGATGAGCAAACTTTCAAAAACATTTGACTATGAACAATAAAGGTTAAATCGTGTCATCTGGACCAGTTGCTTTAAGTGAGAAACGTTTCGTCTCCCCCATCCAGAGGACTTCCTCAGTCTACGACCTGCCAACCAGATCTGTCTCATAACTGCTGTGTTTCAAGCCAACCTCCTGTTGGAATCTCAAAAGTAGACTTTGAACACATGCAAAACAATCAATCATCATGTACAACAATCAAATGTTTTAGGCCAGATGGCCAACTTGCTACTCACAGAAACAGCCTGAGGACAACCAAGGCCAAAATGGTTCAGAAAAAGGTCGTAAGCTCAATCATCCAGGTAGATAACAAGAAAGGTTAAATCGTGTCATCTGGACCGGTTTCTTTAAGTGAGAAATGTTTTGTCCACCACTTTTGAGATTCCAACAGGAGGTTGGCTTGAAACACAGCAGTGAAGGCTATCTATGGGACAATCTGGTTGGCACGCCGTAGACTGACAAAGTCCTCTGGATGAGGGACGAAACGTTTCTCCCTTAAAGAAACTAATCCAGATGACACAATTTAACCTTATCGTTATCTACCTGGATGATTGAGCTTACCAACCTTCATCAGACTATGAGTTTTTTCAAATCTTTCTACCTATAAGATTTATCACTGAAATAAACACAGATTTTCTGTGCAGGCTGGGTATATCAACTGACCAACAAACCGTATGCATACCAAAACAAACAAAAACCTTCTGTCTAGGGCTGGGCCATATCATATTGTTCACAATAATACCGGTTAAAAAAAAGCTTGCAAGGGCAAAAAAAGGATATCATGATATGCTAATTTCATGACGTAATACATCACGCCCCTTTAACAGAACCGAGCGCGCCGAACAACCAAACCGAACTGCGCACCCCCTCCACCTGTAGGTACTGGTGTAACGCTAATTAGTTGCGCACTAGCTAGCTAAAAAGCTAAAAACAAACAACGCGCGGCTCAGCTGTGTCTCCATCCAGCTCTAAACTGCAGGTACAGATAACTCAAATATCTCTCCCTCCTCCCGCTCTAAGCTGCCACTCGTCTTTTTTCCCCTCTCTCCGCACCCGCTCTGCTCTGCCGGTACAAACACGCGCAGGTCTGTCTCTTAGTTCCACAGTCCATGGAGCAAGAACAGAGTCAGGTGATCAGAGACGGAGCATCAGAGAAATGAATCATTCCTGCAGGAACAGAGGAAGCTGAAACTCCACAAGCTCCAGGGTCACATGATCACCTTGTTACAAGTTCTGGAAGTTATAGCTCATTTAAAGACAACATATATTTTGTTACATTTATGCTCAACAGATCTTAAGCTTTATTTTATTTAGTTATTTTGGGAAACTTCACCTGCACTTCAGTTTTTGTGGTGGATTTATTGATCTATATTTTGTGCAGACTTTTTCATCTAAATAACAGAAAGATCTTTTTTATTTTTATACTTGTAGACTGAATACTTTACTAAATAAAGTAATTTCAGTAAAAGTACCCCTTGTTTTTTTAAATTTTATATAATACTACAAAGCAACATGTTAAGTTAATTTAGTCAAATAACTATGATTTCTGTTTTTTTTTTTTTTTGTTATATCACGAAATTTATCGTTATCGTCAGAATGCTCTGAAATATCACAATATTATATTTGAGCCATATCACCCACCCCTACTTCTGTCAACGCTAAATTAAATGCGGATGTTTTCCTATAGTAATAAAGAAATTCTTTACTTTGAGTTAGGGGACATGGCATAATTCTGGTCAGTGGGTCATCACAGCCGAGCGGGTTGTTGTGGAACCACTGTTTGAGTAAAATATGTTGCACATGCATTATATGTGTGTATCTTGTGAGAGAGGAAGAATATGGTAAGCCTGTGAAGGACAAATGTGGATGCTCATCCTCAGTGGGCAGGATGTGGGTGAAAACAACCATCTTCAACACACGTATCTTCAACGCACACACAAACACACACAGCTGGAGCAATGCAAGGCTATAAGAAATTCCTACTCATCGTCATGGATGCCTGAAGAGAATCAAAAAAATTAAACAAGGCTTGTTGTTGACCTCACATTCTGACTGAAACAATGCAACTTTCTTTTTTCAGGAAGGTCACAACTAGTACTAATGCAGCCTGATAATAGTAAAAGCAAGGACCTCAAGGTAGCAATTTCTATATTTATGTAAACACAATTTGTCAAACAAAAAGTGGTGTCACAACATAGAAACAGCCAATGTCGCACCTTTGACGGTGGTGGCGTTTGCTGGTTCTCAGGTTGCAACACTCGTCTATGGTTCACTTCTCTTTCTCTGTAGCCCAGAACTTAGACCGCAACATTCGGATACCAGATCACCATGGTGACACCCTCAGTAGCTCACTGAACCCCGTGAACACCCCCCCACTTCTCACTCACACACACACACACACACGAAATGCACGCAAAGCTGCGTTCCTGTTCTTGGGGTAAACTTCCCCTTTAAGGAATCAGCCCCAACATAAAGGCCCCCCCCCCCCCCCACTGCCTAGCAACAGTGGTGCCGTTGAATTTCCTGTATGTTGGGGCTGATTCCTTAAAGAGGAACTTTACCCCAAGAACAGGAACGCAGCTTTCCCTCCTGCACTTGTTCTCTACTCCATATTAAGAAGTGTGTCAGACACCAGGCAGGGCAGAACTGATAACAAGTCAGTATAACATGTACTTGGAGCTAAAACGGATCTCATGTGAGGCACTCTATAACATCACAATAAACTCATAGACACCTTGTTTAATTCTTAAATAAACAAAAAACAAACACCAAAGCTAGTCTGGTAAAACAACATGGCAAATATTAGTTTTTAGACTCATTCACTATGTTCCTATTGCTAGGTCAAAGCCAGTTATCTGGCGACAACTGGTGCTTGGCAATAATCTTCGCCCCTGACTGTTACCGGAAACGAACGAATGAATCTACGTATGTATAAACATTGCATCAAAATAATGGTGCATTTGTGCTACTTCTTATTCTAACAAAATGTCACGCATATGACAGAATGGTTGCACTGCATAACATTACAGTGCAGCCATTTTCTTGTCACGACAATGCAATTCAAGAAGCACACTTGGTTCTGCAAATCCGTCTTTTCTCCTACAATGGTAAGTGGAACAGGTGACTAATACACCTAGTATCTTAAACTAATCTAGGTGTTGTCTTGAACTACATACCTGCTGCCTTACTTTATAAAAGAACAGCATTTAGAAGCACTTATATCGACTAACAGCTGATCCGTTTTCATTGTCATAAAAACCATGAACCAAAGAGCCAAAATACCCGTTCCTTTTTTAAATATAAAGGAATGCCACAAAGCCTGACTTGTGAGGTATAGTTTGGCGTGTTTAGTACATATTTTTGCAGGTTAGAAGACATTTACAGTATCTGTATCCTCAAAACAATCAAAACTGTCACATCCTGGTATACAAACTACAGACATCCAGAAATGTTCAATTTTGATCTCACTCACCGGTAGCCCATCCTCGGGAGTATCTCCTTCACCGAACAAACGGCACCCTGGAACATAAAAGGAAGACAAGAGTAAAAAATATTATCTTGATCTGTCTACTAACAAACCACTGAAATCATTTCACTGCAGATGAATATGTTTTTTTTCTTCATGCCTTCATGCTGAAGTGTCCCTGGGCAAGACATTGAACCCCTCGTTGCCTCTGATGTGTGTCCCATCAGTGTATGAATGTGATCTAAAGCTCTGATTAGTCTCTTTAGAATGATTTGTTCAATTAGCTTTGTAGGGATCTAGTATAGAGCTGTATGAATGGGTAAATGAGGCACAGATTGTAGTGTAAAGTGCTTTGAGTATCTTGATAAGATAGAAAGGTGCTATATAAGTACAGTCCATTTACCATCTCCATTTATTTCTGATTAGTATCAGGTCAGAAAAGGCCAAGGCTTCTGCTTTTCTCTGCATATCGCCTTATGAAGAAATGAAAGTTACTTTGTGGTAATGGGACACAGAAGTTCGTCTAATAAGCACAGCTAAAATAATGCAATGCCAACCTTAGTTAAATGTCATGTGCTGAATTCTTACTTCTAGTAAAGTTTTTTGTTATAAAAAAATAATAATGACACTGTCAATTAATGCTATGCTCAATATACATTGGATGTAGGATGTAAAAAAAAAAGTCCAAGTAAGCTGCATTTTGGGAAACGCTTCATCTGATTTATCAACGATCTGACTTCCTGTCTATTTTTTCTTTGTGCCAGACATCTTGAGACATCCAGTTATCAGTTAAATCAGTGTTATAATGTCTGAGTTTTTAGTAGACATTAAGTAGTCCTCAGGAAAAGAAACAATTTACTGAATACTGAAATACCACCACGTCTACGCCTTACACAGCCTCAGACGACTCGAGGTGGAAGTCCACTTTCTGTAAATCTATTCATGTGTACGATAGTAACGTGACCTGATAGCAGGTTTTAGTATCTTTATACCTGAACTTTGTTAATGACGGTCTGCACATGCTCTTCTGTAAGTTTGCAAAACCAGATATTATTTATTAATTATTTTTTTAAATGTACCAGCAGAGTCAGTTTTTGTGTCCAAAAACAGACTAAATTACATGCATTGTATGAGTTGTAAGATGAGACTGTAAAAAAATGTATTATTGCTTTAATGTTGCAATGAACAAGGACTGAACTGCTTCCACTAGGATGTGAGGAGCAAGGCTCAAAGTGAAACTTTTAAACTTTAGATGATTTTTTAATAAAATAATTTAGTTAGTTAAGGCCTCTGTTAAATTACTGTGCAAGTCTTCTTGTTTGTATTCAGCGAGAGAACACAATCTGTCCCAGAAGAGAAGAATCCTCTGGGCTAGTGTCTGTCGGTCAGTTTCTGAATCACGCTGAGAAAGAACGGTGAGTGTCAATGCTTTTCTCCAGCCCTGAGAGAAAGAGGCCTCCTGCAGCACGACTCTGGCAGCACTAGGCTACAAAGCTGCCTGAGCCATGTGCCCGTCGTTGCCATGGCAACAGGAGACTGCAAGACTGATACGCACACATGCGCGGGCAAAAACATATTCTCTCTTGCTGCCTCTTCTCCCACACACACTCACGCAGCAGCCCAGAAGCACAACGATGCATCAGGAATACAGACGAACTCGCCCGCCTGTGCTGAGAAGAGGCATTACACAACACCGCCTGAATATAGAGGGGGCCGAGAGAACCAACAAAGCCAAGGATGGCAGGGAGAAGATGCCGAGGAGTCAAAACCTACTATCACCTCCTCCAGATGTTGCTGACATGCACAAAAGAAGATTTAGAATTACTTATTTTAAATATATAATAGGATTACCGGTTTAGTGTTTCTGAGAGGTCATTAGGATGCTGATTATTTCACTACTAAGCGTTTTGTTTTTTATTTGAACACCATGTCATTAGCAGTACATTGCAAATTAATCTTACTGTGGTGAAAACCAAATGAACTACAAAATAAGGCTGTTACAAAGTGTTCTCACCATTAAACTTTCGTCTTTGTTCCCGTTTTATGTTTAGTTGATAGAAAATTGAGTTTTCCAAGTCAGCTTTCAGTTAGCGTTTACCTAGACACTGCCTGGACCCTGAAGTTCAAAACACTGAAAAGCATTTGTGGACAAGAACAGACTGACGCCAAGCTGTGATGAGCCTTTATGATATGCTGGACCTCCTTTATGCTCCCCTGAGTTCTCAAGTCTACAAAGTAAAGAAAGATTATCGTCTCCCAGCTATCCAGTTCACGTTTGTGTAACATGGAGCTGGGTGGCAGATTGCTGAGTTAGCAAGTCTTCGACTAATTAGATGATTGTAACCTATGGCTCTGTACAGAAAAATATTGCTTATTGGGACCCAAAACTGACAGCTCAAGCCCATGGAATAACAAAATCTAGTTACGCTTAAAAAAAAACAATAAAAAAAAACAAGCATAAAAGCCACATCCTATACTGTCAGACCGAATCTTTTTTAAAACTAGTCTAGCCTGTTTTCAAGTGAAGCTACTTTGAACTACTAAAACAGACAAACTCAATCTAGTGAGTCTCTCGGATGAGAGACGAAACGTTTATATATTTTTTTTGCTTTGTTTTGTTTTTTTGTATGTCCAGAGGACCAGATTGAACTTTTTTGGATCAATCTAGTGAGGTTTTTCCTAACTATAGAACACCTCCTATCTTAAAATGTCCCCCACTCCCCTCCCCTTTTCAACCCTCTATTGTCTTATATCATGCACTCTCTGGGCAAAGTTTTGAACAACCAGTCTCTACAGGAAGTATTGAGATTATCTGAGCAGCTTGGACTGATAAGATATCACAAGAGGGGTCGCGATTGGGTTCAGTGAACAAGCAGCAGTGATGAAGTCATCAACACTAATCAAAGCTTTGCATCTCTTCCACACCAGAGGTCAGGTCAGCCAATACAAGACAAAGATAAATAAGCAAAAACAATTCAAAAACAGTTGCCCAACTGCTTTTACATGTAATGGATAGCTGCCAATAAAAGCAAATGTTGGTGGATGTATTCCTAACTTAAAAGTACATTTTGCAGAGTTACAACCAACTTATCTGGTTTGACCTGCTTTCCAACACAAAAACACATGCCGACACCATAGTAACACACCCACACCTTGGTTAATGTCCTCGATGGCCCGGCGTATGCCCCTGTCAAAGGCTCGAGCGTCTGCAGGGCTCTGGAACGTCAGGCCAAATTTCTTGTCATGGATTCTCCAGTGGTGGAAGATGGGGTTGACCTTATTGTACACTAGGTCTCTTGACAGAATACACTCCAGTACCACCTGAGAACACACACAGTCAACAACATGATGCCAGATTAGAAATGTTCAGCTGTTTAGCTTAGTGATTTGAAGATTAAATTTAAACATGTATTTGCTCCATCTAACATCCTGATCTGTTTTAATGTGTCACATCTGTTCCAATGTAATATGGGAACAATTAAAATAAAATTGGAATAGAGAGAGACCATTTTACATCAATAATTATTACATATGAGAGTCTAGGATTTGAAAAAAAAAAACAAAAAAACATAAACCCAAAGATTTCCAATCATTTTTAGAATAATTTGGAAAACATGTTCCTGATGGTGAGGGTCTTAATATGGAGCATTTTAAAGTTGAGGAGCAGTGGTGACAGGATGTTGTGGATGTGTAGGGAGGTTTGAAGCCAGGAAGCCCAGGAGAAGAATGAAGACAGGCTGTGCTTCGAAAACCTAATATTAATCAGGGCTACTGGGCCACCTCCTGGCCTTCCTCCTGGCAGATTAAATACGAGATACGGCCATTACAGTTTGTGAGGTGTTCTCTGACAAGCACGAGAGGCGGCATAACAGGGTGTGAATGAGAGAATGTACTCAGTGATCTGATGTAACAGACTGCGTTAAGTGCAGCTGTGATAAAAAATTAAATAAAACACTCATTGATCCAAGTGCTTCACTGTTCATCTTTACATTTCAAGACTTAGATTGTAGAATCACAGCCACAAATTCAAGACCTAGTGTAAGGAATGCCTTATTCACATGCCGCCTGCTACGCCAGTGTTTTAAACTAAGAACATTTTATAATGAGAAGGGACGGAGTTTTGATTAGACCTTAAAATAACATTATGCAAGATCTCATCAAGTACTGAGAGATGTCCAAAGATTAGGTATTCTGCTAACAGAGAAAGAGTTGACACAATGATTTTAAGCATAGATCTTGCTCTCAGCTGCCACACAAAATGGCCATCCTTAACCGAGCTTATTCCTAAATTTATACTACAATAAGTAATGTGAATGCAAGCTTCATCACACTAAAAGTAAATGTGTTTTGGAGTTTAAATGTGCCATAATTTGCACCATCCATCCCCAAGTCTACTGCATACCTGCCTTAAGGACAACAAACAAAGGAGCAAGGGTTATGCTTGTGTGTTTACCCAAAGCTAGAGCATAAAGAAAGGGAAGATGAGAGGAATGGATGTGAGAGGATGGGGTGACAAAGACAGGGCAGGAGGGAGGGGTCCACAATGCTTCTGGGGGTGACTGTGGAGGCGAGACAGAATGGAGCCAGAGCAGGTAAGGTGAGCATGCAACAAGGCCTGACAGAGGAACAAGTATCACAGTTGCATGGCAGGATGACACTTAACACCGCATTCCACAATGTGCTCAAAGAAAAGAGGAGGAGCAGCAACATTTCCAAAAAAAGAAAGAGAACACAAGCAGGAAATGTTAAAGGAGAAAGACAAAAGACATTTGAATGTGAGACATGTAGAGAAATGACAGGACATTGTGTAAGAGCATTGTGTAAAAAAGCACCCTACTCTTAACTGAACTGTATATAAAAGATGGCTTTACTTGTAAGAACATTTCTAAAAACACACAAGGTTAAGTGAAGAAACCCAATCTAACAAATAGACCTGTGCTGCAAGGTAAAGTTATTCAGAGTGAGCCCTGGCAACGACATCCACAGCTGTATCAACCAGAGGACTGGACTGTATGACTACTAATGAAAGAAAGGGAGGTGGAAAGGCAAGGAGATTAGCTAGAGATTTGTCATAATCTGAGGGCTGGTATGGTAAATTATCATTGACCAAAGAACCAGTGAGAGACTGGAAGGGTGGAGGGGGGGATGCAAGTAGGAGAGTGATTGGTGGCTATATGCAGAGCCAGCTGAGTCATCACCAGCACACTGCGCCGCATCACTGCGCTTATAGACAAAACCCCTCCACCTCTTTTCTTCTGTCTCCCATCTTCTTGACTCCACCTCCATTTCCTGCTTTTTGATTAAGTACTTTTCTGAATTTTGTTCATATATGCACCAATCACCTGATTTCTGACTAAAAGAAGAAGGCCTTTTTGCATTTGAAGTAACAGGGTTTTGGTTACGTTTTCTTCTGTTTAGATCAGCTATCTGTTATAAATGAGTGATTTTTCTTTTTGTATTCTGTCCATTTCAAGCTGGGAAAAAAATTGATGTTATACCATTTGCAATAACAACAATTGTACATGGCTGAAATAAGGTACATTATGTCCCTTTTCTATGTTTGTCAAACCAAAGCTAACAGGCTTTGAAACAAAACAAAAAAAAGTTATTTCTCTGGTCTTCTCATTTTATTTTGTTCAAAATATTAACATAAAGACTACTTTTGGTTTAGCTCATAGATCAAAACACTGGTGTTAGTTTCTAAAAATTACTGTGGCACCAAGATTGATATATCTTTGTGTGTGTTTGCTTTAAACGCAGACTAGTATTTTAATGTGGTTTTGTTTGTAGTAGCTGTTTTCTTGAAATCATTCCTCTGCCCCTTCTCCTGAGGCCCTCAGACAGTCGGTGGTGCTGTGGTTGAAGCCAACACCCCGCCCTGGCACTGGGCGGCATCTTGACAGACCTACACATGGCTAGGTGTTTGTTGTGGTAGCTGGGCACTCTGGCGGTGATAGGGGTGTTTCACCACATCCCATAACAGTTGCCAAGGTCTCTGAGCCATATCTTTGCCATGTCTGAACAACATTCTCGTCACACCCCTCCTCCCTCCCCATGCCACACACATGCTTGAATAGCAAGACACAAAACGCCAATGAATCACTGACACAAAACACATAAAACAAGTTCAGTTAAAAAATAAAAAACTAGGGCTCAGACGCCTCTGTAACAAGGCTCTAATGTTACGATTGTCTGGATTCACTAGAATCTGTGAATCATGGTGGCCTCTGGCAAGCAACATTTCACACATAAAAAGATTTACATTCATATTACCACAGACATATGATTATCAAACCAAACCTCATCTAAAACACAAAGTGATTGTGTGGAAAAAGTTCATGGTTTTACAGATTTCACTTAAAATCTCAAACAAAAAAAATGTTTTAAAGTAAAAAAAACAACAACAAAAAAAAAGTTTTTTTGTTTTGTATAAATTTAAATGGAAATTTGTTGTTACTTTTATTGCTTACTGGTAAAATAAACATGTAATATGCAGGTATTTCCAGATTGAATCTTTCAGATCCCCCCCATGATCTTTGGTTTCCCTCAAACACATTCTCTTCTTGAGTAATCTGCCGTTCTCCCTGATGACGTCAACGTGCATCACACAGTTTGCTCCCATTTTCAGATACGTAAGTTATGAAAGTTAAATAAAAAATCCACTTCGTGTGTGTGTCAGTAAGTGAGTAAAACAAGGACTGGGGGTGGCGGGGTGTCCTGGAAAAGTGGGGGTCACAGTGAGTCTTCAAAAAAAAAAAAACAATTTCCTGTTTGTGCAAATTAAAGTGCATTAAAGGGATGCCTTTATAGAAAATATATTGTCATATGCAGTGTTTCCCTACCATTATACAAGCGGGGTGCCCCACCTTGTCAACAGAACTGAGCACCCCACCTACCAAACCAAACTTGCCCCCCCACACACACGCACACCTGCCCACCCGGCACTGACATAGCACTAAGCTAGCAGCGAGAAATACAGATTCTCTAGCTAAAAAGCTAAAGGCAGCACTCATGTTGCCTCTTCCCTCATGCTAAACGCCACCTGCCCCCAATCAAAAACTGTTTGTACAAGCTGTGCTCAGACAAGTGTCCGTCCCCCCATCAACAAAAATCATGGATGAGATGAGCACCCCACCATGGCAAGTTAACTAGGGGCAACATTGCATATGTATATCATTAAATGACTCTGATGTTGTGTATGACAGTTCATATACAGTGTAAGGACTTAAGGTTCTCTTACCATTTTGTCTTTGAGCCTTTCGCCCTTGATGTGGAACTCCACAGTGGTGGGACTGGGACTAGGGCTGGGACTTGGGCTACCAGGGCTGAGGCTGCTGCCACTTCCTCCACTGTGGATGCTGCTGCTGTCCTCTGCCCGGCTGACCTTATAGACGGTGACACTGCTAAGGCCTCCACCTCCCAAGGGTAGCCACCCACCGCTGGAGTCATCCCGGGTCATGACCACTGCTCTCACACGCGCATAACTGTCACTGTAAAGAAGGAAGGTTGACAAGAGGGACAGATGAAGGGCCAGTATAATACTAAAGTACTTTCTTTTACTGTCTTTTAAAACACTTGTACTGGCTTAAAAGTCATTATAATGTCTAGGTCAGAATTTTTTCAACTTTTAGTTTCATGTTGATTATTAACCCAAACAAAAAAGTGAAAGCAGCATACTGCCAAAACATTCATTGTACTGTCTAGTTTGATGGATATCAATGAATTTTATTTGACGTTATTGTCATTTTAACAAAGAAACAAAATAAATCGTTGTATTTTTCATGTACAAATTGACAACCACTGCAATGTCTGCTTTGATCCATTCTGATGTATTTATTTATTTATTTATTTATTAAATATGGTATTACGGTATTGAGGGAGTTTTTCCTTTCCACTGTCACCTTCATGTTTGCTCAAGATGAGAGTTCTGTGATGGAGTTAAATTCAAAGCAGTCTGCTTTTCAGATAAACAGTGTTAAATTATTATTTTTATATATGTATGTTTCTGTTCAGTGGCCTGAGATGACTTCTGTTGTGACATGGCACTATATAAATAAACTGAATTGAACTGACTTATTGATATTGTCCTCTTTTCATAAACATTAACAAGTTAACTTTACACTTCTGTAAAGTGCCCTGAGACAACGTTGTTGTGATTTGGCGCTATATAAATAAACTGAATTGAATTGAATTAAATGTCACGTGTTGCATGCTAGATAACCAACACCATATGTGGTTATATTGTTTAAGTAAAAGCATATTAGCAACAACTGTTGGCAAACCCCATTCACGTTGAAATATCTGAACTGCATTTCTTTTCTATTTCAAAACCAAGGGTTAAGTGTAGGTGTAACATTAGCGAATGCGATTAGGCCTAAACGTTTAGTAAGAATGCAGTCAGAAACAAGCAATAATTGCCTACAAAAATGTATTCAAAATATTTTATCTAAACATTTGCTTTTAAATGTTTGTATCCAGTTGTGTACTTTTTACACAAGAATCTACTATGAAACTACAGTAAAATATTTGTGAAAATGAGTAGGTGAGGGACTTGAAAGAGCACAATCGCTTCACATCTTCAAATGAGAAAAATATATTTTTTTTCCAGATTATTTGTACCAGTATATTTATTTTTCAATTGTTATATATCTGAGGGCAGAACGTTAACAGTTGAATAAATGTATCAAAGCATCAAAATGTTAGTAACTTGAACCGAACAGAAAACAGAATTGTATATACATTTAAAAAAAAATTACAATATTAAGCCTTTGTGTATTTTTATACTTATATACACAGTATTGTATATATTGTACAGAACTAATCACATAGCAGGCTTAAAGCTCTCTGAAGCTGTCAGTGTGTGTTTAATCAAGCCAAAGGGTGACTGACCATCTGGTCAAGCTCTGTTTTCTAACTTTTCAGCTGAATCAGGTTGTTTTAAACTAGACAGCACATGATGGGCTCTGGCTCATATCACCCTCTTTTCTTTCAATCACAAGGTAAACCCTGTAGGACAACCTTTTGCTGGACATAATATGTACCTGCTGACAATAACACAAATGTAGAAGGTGTCATGAGAAAAAAAGAAAACATTTAAGTTGCAACTTGCAGACAGTTTTTGTGTTCTTATACAACACTGCACACAGAGAATATTGTTAGCGTATTTACAAAAAATTGTTTTGGGTTATTGTCTGTCCCTTCGGGGGAAAGTCGGGTGTGTTACACTGTACCCGTGTACTGTTATATATTAGATGTGAACAAAACTACGACAATTGTGAGCTTTCTGTCTTATAAACGTTGAAGAGTGTGTCTGTGACTATGGTACACATGTGAGACAGATCAGTCGGGCAACAGACATGCCATCCAAGCTAAAAATTATCCAATTCTGGTAATTAATGGATTAAACAATGCATTTATAAAATGTGTGTGCCCTTATTTAATTATCAACTGACTTCAAAGTGGAAAAACAATAAATTGACATAAAGAACAGAAAACCATAACTAAAATTCTGCTAACGGTATGAACGGTAAACAAACTGCCATTTGTTACTAAATGAATTTATTAGGCATAATATATTGTCAGTCATTATTGTGTAAGAAAATTAATGATAAAGCTTTTAGTTGTTTATTTATTTTTGTTGTTGTTTCCTAATCAAGTAACTGTGTATTGGGTTTTCGGAAACAATAAAGTAACAGTAAAGACATGGAAATCAGAGATCTTACTAAACAAACAAACAAACAACAACAAAATAACTACAATTTGACAAGCCAATATCAGACAGTTTAATGTTGTGTCAATTTAACCAGGACAAATGATGTCAAAGAATGTGTGGTGTTTTTAAGGAAGTCTTCTCAGTAGTGATCAAGAGTGACTTCATGAACAATACAATGAAAAACCTGAAGCTCTAAAGCTGAACGGTCGCGTCCTTCCTCTTTACACCTCTTCTTTTAACCTGCTCAATAAGACTGACCTTTGGTCTCCTGCCTTCCACGCCTTTGCCAAACTTCAATATCCTGGCTCTCAGTTAGTAATTATTCTAAAAGGCAGCGAGCATTAAATCTGAAGCTCCTTTTTCATGTGAAAGCACTTGGAACCTTGTAAAAAGTGACAGGAAGCTTCCTCTAAGGATTGATGAGCAAGTATAAAATATAAAACTCTTTAGCAATAATTAAAAAAACAAATCCTTTTATTAACGCTCAATGTTCACAAAAGACTGATCTGTTAGGGCACCTGGACAAAACACTGATGTTTTAACTAAAATACAACTTTAGAATTTTTTTACAATGTATTTTTATTTTCTAAACATGAGTTAAAATAAGCTATCTGTTGGTTCCAAGTCTTGAACCAATATTTACATTTTACGACGGCTAACAGTTGGAAACTAAACACAACAACATGCAGTAAGGAAACAATGTGATCCTTAGGTTGTTTTTTCTTTGCAACATCGTAAAAAACACCGTGCAATTATTCTATTGTTAAAATGTCTTCAAAGAAAGCTATTAAAATTTATTTACCAAAGTGTGTTAGTATTGTATGTATACACCAAAGAAATGACGAAAACACCCTACAATATTGCATAAGTGCAGTATTGCGGAAATAATTCTAGTATATCCGAAGAAAAGCGTAATCTAAAATAAACCCTTAAAATGAGAACTAAAGATGTGAATTGTTTTGTAGACATATTAAACACAGCAATGTGTTGTCTGTAAAGAACCTGGATGCAGCATGAATGTAAATAAGCGGCTTCAAAAGAAAATGCTACAGCATCTCTTTTACCTTCATCCCACAGTGATATTGATGAGTTTTAATTTTTTTGTTCAGGCGAAGAAAATCTGTGCCAATTGGCTACATGCTATGACCTTACACCATATGTCTCAAACTAAAGGCCCGAGGGCCAAATGTGGCCCTTGATGACATCTTATCTGGCCCCCAAGATGTTATTTTAAATGTAAAATACTTTTATCGCTTTAATTTTTTTTCAGTAATCTTTGATGATAATGTCAAAAATGCAACGGAGAATGTCAAATGAGACCAATCAAACTCTTTTTGAGAAACCTGCAACCAAGAACAGATGTTTGGTATCCAACTTAAGTTAATGTAGATTCTGAAACCGACCCTTAGTTTGAAAACGGTTTTAATTTTGGACCCCTTTTGTAAGTGGGTTTGACACCCCTGCCTTACACTTAACTGAAATGACGGACTGGAAGTTGAGACGTACTTTAGCTGCTTCTCCGTGGTAAAGTAATAGTTTCCCCCATCGTTGTACAAGCAGGGCACCCCGCCCAGTCAACAGAACTGAGCACCCTGCCTACCGAACCGAACAAATACAGACGCGCGCGCATTGACAACTGCTGCCACTGAAGTAGCGTTAAGCTAGCAGCGCACAATACAGATGCGCTAGCAAAAAAGCTACAGGCAGTGTTCCAATTCCCTCATGCTAAGCCGTCTCCCACTCCCCACCCCCGAAAACCTTGGGTACAAACTGTGTATGGGCTGAAAAAATTCAGTTTCAAAGAGCAATTCAAATTCAGTTTCTGATGGCACAAGTTTCAGCCCATAACAGCAAGCAACACAGACATGTCTCGATCTACACCACACCCCCACACCTGGACAAAAAAAATAAAAAAAATCACAGAAGAGATGAGTGCCCTGCCAAAGCAAGTAATGTAGGGGAAACACTGAAAGTACCATTCTTATCTCATTGTTTCTATTAGTTTCTTCTCGTGTAGGTGTCTCCTTTGGGAGTGTGTCCCCCACTCTGTGAGCAGGATCGTCTGTTGGGCTTATGGCAGCACTCGCTGTTCACTGAGGACAGTGACTGCAGAATGATTAGTGCCTTCATGTACGGTCTCCAAGTCAGGAGAGTCAAACTCATAAAAGGGGGACAACATTAAAACCTTTTTCAAACTAAGGGCATATTTCAGAATCTACATCAACTCAAATCAGATAACCAGCATCTTTTCTTGGTCACGGGTTCCTCTGCAAGAGTTTGAGAGTAATCAAAGATTACTGAAAAAAATTAAGATATAGAAGTATTTTACGTTTCACAAATCATCTTGAGGGCCAGATAAGATGTCAACGAGGGCCACATTTGGCCCCCGGGCCTTGAGCTTAACACGTGCTTCTAAGTTTACACATCTGAAAAGTAGCTAGATTTGTCGCTGATCGCCTTTTAACAACAAGACCCCGAGATACTTAAACTCCTCCACTTGGGGCAGGACCTCCTCCCTGACCCAGGACCCTTCCTGGGCTGCCACCTTACAGTGGTGGAAGGGTTTGAGTGTCCCAATGATCCTAAGAGCTATGATGTCAGGGGCTTCATGGCCGTAGTAGGGTCACCCAAGGCAGACAGGTCCTAGGTCAGGGACCAGACAAAGCGCAGCCCAAAGACCCCTTATGATGAACACAATCAATGGAAACAATGTTCCCTCGCCCGGATGTGGGTCACCGGGGCCCCACTCTGGAGCCGGGCCTGGAGGTGGGGCACGCT